CTTTCCCCCACGTGGTCTCACCCAAGATGGCGGCTCCTGGAGCAGCCGAGCGTCCCGGACTAGAAAGCAATAGATTTCTTGCTTCTGCCACAAATACCCCCAGCTGTGAGCCTTCCAACCTTCTAAGTATTCCTTTATATGCGGTTCAGAGTTCTGGGACCAGCCCCTGAGCCTTCTTGGTCAGGTATTCTGTGTTGTTGTTGGCGGAGCTCTCTGCTATACACCCACCCGATCCACCATCTTGTTTGTTCTCTCCTTCTTTTTCTTATTGACTCAATGTCATTACTTTTTTTAGGTTTGCTTAGCATGTTATTTTTTTCTTGAATCTGTGTAAGTAATTTGTGTGTTTCTAGGAATGTCTATAGTTCATCTAGGTGATGTAATTTGTTGGTGTGCAGTTTATAGAATGCTCATACAACCTTTTTCCCCTGTAAAATTGATAGGAATTTCATTTTCTAATTTTAGTTACTTGTGTCTTCTCTCATATTTTTCTGTTTCGTTCTACTTAAAAATTTGGCAATTTTATGAATCTTTTTAAAACTGTTGTATCTTATCAATTCTCTATTACTTTTCTATTTTCTCTTCTGTTTATCTTCACTCTCATCTTTATTGTTACTTCCTTCTTGTAAGTTTGCACTGAATTTGATCTTCTCTTGCTAGTTCCTCAAGGTATAAAGTTATGTTATTAATTTTTCTTTAGGTTTTATGTAAGCATTGCTTACATTTAGTTCATTTTTTTCTCTCATTATTTTAGTGATTAGTTATTGCCAGCATTTTGTTAGATTTTTCAAGTATAATCATCTCCAAAAGCTTATATTTAAGCTATAAAATGTTTGAAGGACCTTAAAATTACTATTAAAATTATTATTATGACCTTAATATTCCTATTAAAATTATTATTATAGTTATTTCCCATATTTTAGAAGCTATTATTTCATTTTGTGTTTAACTTGGGAAGTTTTGGCACTATATTAAATTTAATATAGATTGGAATTTATGGTTTCCCAAGGAAGTAACCACTTTCTATCTTAATAAAAAACCAAACCAATTGCCATCAAGTCAATTCCTAGTTACAGTGACCCCGTATGTGCAGAGGAGAACAGCATTCTCTAGAGCTTTGAAAGCTGTGGCTTTTCAGAAGGAGATCATCAGGCTTTTCTTCTGAGATGCCTCTGGGTGGGTTCAAATGGCCAGCCCTTTATTTAGTAGTAGAGTGCTAAACGGTTGACTTCAAGCTTTAGTAACCTACTGTCATTGAGTCAATTCTGACTCATAGCAACTCTATCTAGGCTTCTGACACTGTTCATCTTGATGGGCACAGACAGCCTCATCTTTTCCCATGGAGTGGTTGGTAGGTTTGAACTTCTGACTTGGTAGTTAGTAGCCCAATGCCTACTCCTTCCATGTGTTAATAATTGTGGTGCTGTGAAGTAAAGAACTGCATCATAAGGTCACTTAGAACTGTGAGGTTAGTATTTCAAACTCACTTGGAAACACTATACAGGAAACACTATAAACACTCTATGAGTCAAAACCGACTTGACGGTGCTTAATAACAATAATTATTAAGCTAATTTTTTTTTCAATAATATAAATGTTAAACCTTTTAAAATAATAATTTGACTATTAATCTACTATATAATAGTTCAAGAATACTTTAAAACATATGGTTAATTCTGCTATAATTGTTTTGAAATGTGAATTTATTCCAACTCTATTACTGACAGACCTTGTCTGCAGCCATCCACTGATCCTGAAAACGTGCTTAAACACGCTTTTTTTTGGTATGGAATAAACCTATGCTTTTGTGAATTGGCATGCTAGTGACAATACTTTTTTTTTTTTTTTTTACCTTTTCCTTGGGTTTTAAGGATTAATTTGAGCATAATGTTCATTTCTCATTTTCTCATTCACAATTTCATTCATGAGAAATATTAGAAAATGGCACCCAGCTGAACTGAGCCATGTAGGAATTCACAAGACACATGATGCCCATAGCAGCTCAGCCATATGGGCCAGGTACTACAAGTCACCATGCATAGAATGTGCCATACCAGTCACCTCTGCTGTTACATCATGACATCAACTCTCCTTCCACTGTTTAACAATAACTTACAAGTGTAACCTGGTCAACATTCACTTCTACATACAAGCCTCAATTCAAGGTTTGTTGAGTTGGCTTTGACTAATAGAGACCCTGTATAGGGTTTCTGAGGCTGTAAATCCTTTTGGGAGCAGGAAGTCTCATCTTATTCCAAAGAGTGGCTGTTTGCCTTGAACCACTGACATTGTGGGTAGCATTCAGTGCTTATCCTATAGAGTGTTTATCCTATAGAGTTACAGCGCTCAAGATAAAGGACTTTCTTATTGTCATGTTTGTTATTATTGCTGTTAAGCACCATTAAGTCAGTTCCAACCCATAGCAACCCTGTATTGGGTTTCCACGGATCAGCTGGTGAGCTTGAACCACTGACCTGTGGTTCAAACTGACTTTACAGTCCAGCCCATTAACCCACAATCCCACACATAGTATTTATGTATTTTTGAATAATTTAACCAGTGTAAAACTGTACTTATGTTTTCATTAGGTTTCTATTTTTTACAAGAATGTTATTGACAGTGTTTTTGAGTGCTGTTATTCTCATTTCAGTTTTTATTGCATGATTTTGCATACTTCAATGAGTTTTAAGAATGTATTTGCCACATTATAGCAGAACTGACTTAAGTTTGTCAGGGAAATGTAATTGTTTTCATATTTATTAACATATATAACTTGTATTTAGTAAGACACCATTACAAATGTTAGGTTAAAAATTTGTGGAAAAATGGAATTAACATAATGGATTTTTTTCATGGACTCCTTGAAGCCCCCTCATATTCTGGCTGGACTATTAAATTCTCTTCTACCATTCAAACAGTTTCCCATGGAACCTAGTATTTGGATAGTGACTCTCAGAGAAACATGGAAATGTTAGTAATGTCTATTATAAATTCCCTGTCATTTATTGTGTCCTTAACTATTTATTTCTGGCTTTTATAAAATTGCACAGAAAACAAAGGCTACACTTGATAAAACAAAGAAAACACCTGTAAAATCAGAGAAGAAAAAAGACAAAGGAAAATCTGAGGAATCAGATGAGTAAGATATAAGATATATGTTAATATTTTTCTTTTTTGTGAATTGAATTTATATTTTATACAATGGTTTATGGGTATATGAACATAACTTTATCATAGGTAATTTTAAAAGCATAACATTAGCAAATAAATAGTCTTATAAGCAGACAAGAATATGATATGGGGAGAAATATGATAAGTGAAGATTAAAGAGCCAAAGTTGAGTTGGCTGAATGAACCATGAGGTGTTCAGGAATCTGTAATCTGTAAAAAATTATAGAGTAAAAAGGGAATAATAATATTTTCTTGATGGTCTTTGTAATGATTTGTAATTAGTTTTTAACACCCTAATCTAGGTTTTTATTTTTTGTTCAATTATTATTTTATTTAGTTATCTATTTTTAATGTTTAAAGACTATTGTTAAGTAGCTTTATTAAGTGAATATTTTCTTTAATATCAATAAATAATTTTGTGTAGTCAAAGCTTAATGTGAAAATATAGTTTTGAAAAAGTAACTATCACTTCAATCTTTTATATCGTTCCCAATCATTGATCAAATTGTTTTGACCTTGGATTTAGAGTAGAAAAGATGATCAATGCTCTTTGAAAATCCTTGCCCTATCTCAAACTTTTCAGTTTTACTCATACTAAATGAGAAAGCTGTTCTAGAAGATAATTTGAGAAATGTTATTCAGTTGTTTAACAGTCATTTTTTTTTTTAATTAAATGTTTTTATTTTGCATTGAGTGAAAGTTTACAGGGCACATCATCAGCTTCACATTCAACCATTCATATAGCTTGTTTCATT